GAAGTGTCTGTTCCTATCCTGTGCCCATTTTTCTATTGGATTATTTACCTTTATCTTGTGGTGGTGCTCAAGTATTTTATAAATTCTGGATATAAGTCCCTTATCTGATATGTCATTACCAAATACTTTTTCCCAGTCTGTGGCTTCCCTTTTTACCCTGTTGAAGAAGTTTTTGGGTGTGCATAGATAGGGCTTTGATTGTTAGAAGATCCCATTCATCCATTTTATCTTCTCCTGGTTGTAGGTCTGGCCTGGTTTTGACTGCTAATATTGAGCTTCTCCCATCATTCTTTCCACAGATGTAGTCTGTTTTATTCCTGTGCAGTCCATCAGATGAGGTCCATGTGTAAAGACACCTTTTGTGTTTTTTTATAAAAGGTATTTTCACTGAATAAACCTGCATTCACAAGTTACACTGTCTAGTATCCACTCTTTCTGTTTTAGGCCTTGAAACAGACTTCCCCAACTCAGGTGGGCGGGGTGAGTCATTGGCGGTGAGGCAGGGAAGAGCTCAGGTGAGAGGGGTGACTTGGAGGTAGAACATGGAGAACCCAGGAGGGAGAGGGAGGTGATCATACCAATCTGACCCTGCTCAGGTTCATGACTTAAGGAGGATGAAATAACGGGCAGGGCTGACCCACCTGTTGTGTTCAGTTAGTCTTCCCTCCAACCTTCACAGGGAAGGGCTTTCTGAAGTGGCTGGTGGTTGGTTACTTTATGAAGGCTGTTTACAGACAGACATGTCTTCCTGTCTGTGCCAGAGGGACTCCAGTGGAGAGTGGCATGCTGTCCCTGTACCTGGAGTGCCGGACCTGAGATGTTTGGAGGGAATTTTGTGTCTTAGACACAAGCAGCCTGCGTCCCCACCCTCCCCTGTGCCTCTCTGAGGACCAGACGTCATGCCCAAGATCATCCTGAATGGTGTGACAGTGGACTTCCCATTCCAGCCATACCAATGCCAGCAGGAATACATGACCAAAGTCCTGGAGTGTCTGCAGAAGGTAAAGTGCTGACCCTGGTGGACTGATGGCTTGCATCAACACCAGACCAGCCTCACCAAGGGTCTGTAGGGTCTTTTTTATTGGGAAAAACATATTGGGGGGGTACAAGGAGGTGAGGGTTGGGGGCAGAAGGGTGAGGATGGGCCAGGATGCAGTTGCAGAGCTGCACAGCTTGGTCGGTGGGGGGAGCAGGTGAAGGAAATGATGAGGGTTCAGAGGGGACCAGATACTACAGAGGAATGACAAGCATTT